GGCTAGGTTAACTTTCTGTTGATCAGGAATATTAGGTATGATTCTGAAATAACTGTTGCATTTTAGTATCCAGGCTCTAGGGTTGGTTCCATCAAAATGGGGAAAATCGATTTTGGGTAATGGGCTGATGATGTTTGGGGGATGATCCTGCTGCTCAGTGTGATGTTTGAGTTTTTGTTGCCGAAATGAGGTCTCAGATTTATGTTCATTGAAAGGGCCAAAGATAGACTCCTCACCATGTGCTTTGCTTTTGTCCATGTTCAGGAGTTGGAGTTGCATAACAGCCAGGGTATTGGTGAGATGCTCGAATTTGCTAAACATACCCTAAATTTGCGACTGCATCTCCGTATGTCAAGCCTTAACCTCAGAGCCCAACTGTGTAATTTGCTCTTGGAGTTTCATTTCGGCAGCTTCCCGTTTTAAAATTTTTGTTTGCATGAATTGATCCATTTTTTCTGTGTTTCATGCAGGTCTTTGATGCGTGTGCCTTCAGCCATGGAAGATCGTAGCCGGGTGATACCAAATGTTAAGCTCTAAGTGGGTGTATGTAATTTTTAGTAATTTTCTGTAATTTCTGTGAACCAAACAATGTTGAAGATGAATTGGGAAAGAAGAAAGGAGAGGGGAGGAGAGAGAGAGTAGAGAAAAAAGGGAGGAAAATAGATTAATTCATTTCTTACTTTTCATCTCAACAAACCGGATACAAATACCCTCAAGTGGGTCCCAATAATAACAAACTTTTCCCCTACAATTAAAAAGCTATTACTTAAATTGGGCCAAAGAAGATTTCAGCCCAAAAACATAAATGTAAAATAAACTGTAAATAAAGATAAAGCCCAAAGGCATGATAGAAGAGGTTAGGCCCGCCTCTTAAAAAACACTTGGCCCAATGATGCAGCCCAAATCTTCTCTGCTTTTTGCCATATCCGTCGGGCCCGATCCCAATTTGTCATTAATCTCTGACTCGTCTTCTTCCATCTCATTTCTCGCAAACCCTACTTCTTCTCCGGCGATCGGAATTGTGATCAAATCCTCCACGCCGTCTCCCATTTTCTGTAAAGATGTCACCTTGGACCCTCTCTTCGACTCTTCCTCCATAAAAGCTTCCATCTTTTTCACTTTTTCAGTCGGGGATATGACACATTAACTGCATACAGTAGGCTTTCTATTGTCGAGCATAAGGAATTGCCTTAGTGTTATGTATGCTACAAATGAGCCTAATGACAGTCCATGGATACAAAACTTCAAATCTATCTGATTGGATTGCAAGAGCAGTAAAAAGTTACTTATGGTGGCCAGGTGAGAATTTTTAGGATGAGTGGGGAAGACGAACCGACCAGGATGAACCTAGGCCATCAGATCGAAACAGGATGGACGACCTAAATCATGACAAGGTGACATGAAAGGTTTGTTAGTCATGGATGTCCAGTTTTAAACACAAATCAAGGGTGGAGCTTGGATGCGTGTGCAGGAAGTGACTAATATGATGGGTGCACTGCCCAATGTCACATGCCCAGGGCAATCTAGTAGGAAGACAAAGGAACGCGCGCGACACCGATCCAACTATTCATGTGAACATTCTTGAACAAGCTCTAGCAGCTCGTACGAAGAATGGGGGACTAGATGATATAGCACTGAAAGTAGGTCGCGTGGACCGTTGCACCTCAGCTTGGTTCTAGTCGTTGAGAGGTCAGAGGTTTTCAGATGGTTCAAGTGTCAGGGCGGCCATCACAAGATCGGCCTCAGGAGACTTGAGGTCAGCCAACTCAACTGCGAAGTTTTAGCTCGACAGTGGTCGGGGATAGACCTATTAAGTGCAGGTTGGCTTAGATGCCAGGTTGGATCCTAGAAAGACCAACCTCAGAGGACGGCTCGGTCTAGCTAATAGAAAGGACCAGTTTGGCGGATAGAGTACAGAAAAGGTCGGCTAAAACTGTGAGGAGCATTAGGTCGACGTGGCTCATCCTTAGCTTGAATGGCAAAGTTGTCGACCTCTGTGACAAGACTAGTCTGCGACCTCCAGGATTGAGGGCGACCTCGAGACCTTCAGGTCTGATGCCGACCTCCAATCACTTGGGGAGTGGCGATCTGGATGGTCTTGGGAGCCTAAGAAGCGTACCTAAGAGGTACCAAATTTCTTGAATACGGATATATCATTGAGGATCCTAAAGATTCGAGAAGATTTGGTTAGTTTAGAGGGATGATACCAGATAGACTTCTTACCAGACCAGAAGTCTCTTGGGCAGCACATAACCCTAACTATAAAAAGAGGATGCAGATTATTATTTTTATACAACACACATACATCTGAAAAAGATAGTGTTGTCGTATTATTGTTGAGCACGGTCTGACTTAAGCGTCGGAGCCTTTTCCGCCAAAATCCCTCCCGATGTTTTGCAGGTCGACGACGAAGCAATTTAGGTCGACAAATTGCGGTTCGGATCAGATCAAAGGGCAATTTGTGCAGCAGGTTCGAGGTGCTATAGCACATGATTACTTTAATCAGGAAGCAATGTGGCGCAATCCATGAAATAAGTGTAGCATTAATAAGGTTGGTTGAAACAGAGTCCATCAGATTTAATTAAGCATTAATTTGTCTTCAAAATTTATTGCTCAGAAGGTAAAATAGAGGAGACGTCTCTATTGCTGCATAGTTAACTACCAGTCTGCTCAATATTTAAGGATGCTTTTATTTTGTTTTAGTTTATTTTATTTTCCCTGATTATTCATATTTGTGTATTAATTAATAACACCCATAACTGCTGGCTGGCTATAAATAATTTGCACCAAATACACTCTCACATGCCCTTAGAATAGTTTTGTTTCTTTTTCTTTTTCAAGAAAAACAATAAAAGGAAAAAAAAAAA